TGACAGGCGCTAGGGGAGGACTAGCGTAGGCTGAACCAGAAGATGAGGGAAGCGCACCTCTTCCAAGCGGGTAGTCACATCAGGGCCATGAGTGGATCTCTGACTCATCCTAGGTAGAGGGATGGCCTAAAAGCCTTAGTGTGCTAGTGGTCACATCATTGTATCCCAGTAGTCACATCACTGTATCTCTCCCTATGTCAACCACTCACCCACCACCATGAAGCCTATAAATATGGCATTTACTACGGTGGGTGGAGGGGATCGCATTTTTCACCATTCTCTCTCTACAAGAACTACTTCTCTTTCTAATCTCTTTCTCACTCAACTCTCTGATTCTGGTTCCACTGATCTAGCTCGGCTCTCGCGTTTCTTCTCGACCCAAACTCTCCTTCGAACCTCACTCCTACACTCAGTTAGGTTCAAACACTATCATTTCGAGTCTTTGTATGCAATCAATGAGTAAGCTAGCTATTCTCCATAATCCATTCAAAAATTAGTTTGACAAATGAGGTAACCCGTTCCAACCTGTTTCATAGCTCGTGATTATTTAGTCCATTGAGGACAATATTCATTTTAAAGTATGGGGTGTAATTTTGTGTTTCTTTCAATTTCTATATACTTAGTCGTACATTTTCGAAAATTTTATCCAAGTTTAGTTGTAATGATATGTATGAAATTTTTGAAATTTTCTTAAAGATGTTTTCAATCTAATGACTCTTAGTTATCCCCTACAAGCATGTTTACTGATCATCTTACTTTGAATCATTGATCTAGGGAGGATATTTTAGTGACTATGAAGGATATATATGATACTCAATGAGATATAATGGTAATTTGATATGTTAGTGACTATAAAGGATGTGATACTCAATGAGATATAATGGTCATTTGATATGTTTGAATGCTATGTGATTTGTTTCATTCTTAGATTTCTGATTATGCAAATGAGTCTCATTTTTCAAAGTTTTTTTTTTCATAGGGCGAATTGTATCTTCTGTAAAATATGAATAACTACCTATCAAGCCATGACTGTATCTTGAAATATTTGTCATGTTATGTTAAGAAATAAAGTATGTTGTAAGCCCAATGTGTGATGCATCGTTTTATTGTACAAATTTGGGTTTCGGAAAAGATACCAGTGGTTGTTAAGCGACCTTGTTCGAAACTAGTTCCTCTCAAGTACAAGTAAAAGTTCCACCCATTAAATTGATAACCAACTTGAAGATGTGTTTTTAAGGGTAGGGATAAAAACTACCAACACCCCCTAATTGACCTTCCCCACGAATTTAGGGATCGTTTGGTTTTGGTGATAGTTAAATTGATGCATTGTCAACAATGCATGCATAATAATATACATTTGTATGAGAAAATTGGTGTATTGTAGTTACCATCGTTTGGGTGAAATGTCACTTTTGCCCTTTGTTTTTTATATAAAAAAGCAACACACATAAAAAGGTATAGTTGAAAAAAAAAAGACTCAACAATCTCACCAAAAACAATCTCAACAATCTCATAAAAAAAAAGACTCAACAATCTCTTAAGCAAACAATGCATGTATTCTTTGTGCAGAAAATTCAAAAAAAAAAAAACATTGTGGACAATGCATGTATTGTAACTTTCTCAACCAAACAATCACCAAAACCAAATGACCCTAAAATATAGGAGTTGAATGGAGTACTCTGACGAATGCAGAGATACATAAATTGCTCTTGTTCAACTAATAAGAGTTTAATGCTTTAGTAAATCTCCCTACACAAGAAAAGAAGAAAAATATAGTGAAGAAAATAAATAAATAAATATGATGATATGAGAAGGCAATAGTGCTTAAGAGATACGTTGATGAATGGTAGAGGCATTAAAGAGCTATAATAGTTTCCAAAAAGCTTCATCCTATGAGTTTTGAGACTTTGCTCCATGCTTAGTGGTATAAGCTTGAGTTGGATTGTGTGATGTTATTGCATATTGATGTGGTTATGATTCTTTTGTACTATTGTTGATCTTGTAAGTTCACTTTTGATCCACTACCTAAGATCAAAATTGAGTTATGCTCCTTAGTTTTCTTGAGTTGTATGATTATGAGCAGTGTTTGCTTGGGGACAAGCAAAGTTCAAGTGTGGGTATTTATGATAACACTCAATTATAGAATCAATGTTTGATTGTTTAAATCGTCAATGCTATAGACCTTTAGTTTTGGCTCAAGAGGCACACACTTAACTAAGTGTTATCCTTAATAAAATGCTCTTAGTTATATATTTGATGGCATAAAGCAAAAGCACACATTAGTTGGCTATTGTTTCTCTCACATATGGTAAAGGCTCGATTTGAAATGCTTAAGCAGAAGGGATAGAGTGATTAAATAGATGAATCATTGAGATGCATGATATGATTAAGAAGGTCATGTAAAATATGACTCTAGACATTTCTAGGATTTATAACTTGGTTGCATTTGATATGCATTGATAAGACTACTAAATGAAATGCACATTAGTGCATAGCTTAAACTAATTTTCGGGGTGATCATATCTTAGTATGGTGTTAAATATTTTTGGTTTACCATTTGTAAGTTCTTTCATTTGGTGAAGAAAGAAGTCTTAGGATGATGTTGGAGCTTCCTTGTCCTCGGACTTTCATTCAAAAGACAAGGTGAGTTCTCTACAGGCGAAGGATGCGAAGTACGTCATTGATGCTCCCAAGCCTAAGTGAAATAGCATCTCTCTTCACCAGAGCTCATCAATCTAGAACCGTGCTCCCACCTGTTGCTCTTGTTGGGCACATGGACGAGGAAGAGGTTTTTTTCCGAACTCCCCGATCCCCTCACCACCTTCATACCTCTAGATTAGCTTATTCCTCAGAGGACGTCTCAGAAGGGCTCAATGAGACTAATGAGGAGTGGGTCATCGACTAAGTTGAGGAGGAGGACACCATGACTTCGTCGATCGAAAGAGAAAAACCCAAAAATAGGAGAGTAACTATGTCCATGACATATGAGTGTCATTGATAACATCTAAAATGGTGTTTTTTAATTAACCCTCATATTTAGGATCGTTTTGAGTCATTTTGTGGTCTCGTTGGTTGATATGTCATCTAATAGATCCTTATTTCCTCGAAGAGAATATTGTCATATTACATTGTTATAGATGATACAAACTATTTAGGTACGAAAAGAGGTCACAAGTGTAGGATTATGTGCAAAAATGAGAGATCACGACCAGAGCAAGGAGATCGCGGTCGGGAAGAAAGGGTGTAAAGTTGAGCACGTAGATCGCGACCTCCACTTCTAAGATCGCAACTGCGAAGAATGGAGTTTTGGGTGTGAACTTGAAGAAGCAGCCAACAAGGGAGGACCAGAGAATTTTGACAGCGACTCGCGACTCTCGTTGTCCATGCTTGCGATAAAGATCACGGTCGTGACTCACGGATTGCGACAGTGAAGTCAGGCTGCGAATTTCCCATCCAGCAAGGCGTAACAAGGCGACATCTGAATCTTCGTTCTCTCCCAACTCAAGTCTTCTTCTAATTCTTCTTGTGTATCTTCTTCCCCCCCCCCCCTATGGGGTAGTAACCTAAGGTATTGGGGTTCAATCCCCAAACCCACGATTTAGGTTTTAGAATGTACTTTTGTTAGGGTTTGTGTATGAAACTTGCTTATCTAGTTATATTATGCTTTTATCTATGCTAATTGTGTTTGGGTTGTCATTCCTTGTTGCCTACCTAGGGTTTGCATGAGATGGTATGGATTTGGCATGTTTGACATGATTGGGTAGATGAATTATTTTGGGAATTGATTGGTGGATGAGGTGACCATCCTCTGGCAATCGGGTGGCCCTTCTAGGTAATGCTTGAGTGATGCGTGTGTGACCATCGACATGTCGAGCTAGTGTGCTGATGGGTTAAACCCATTAGAAGGGTCTAAGTCGTATCCCTAGCATAGTGAACTTGATCGAGGTGATATTGGGTTACCAGATCATGCTAGGAGGGGGCTAGATGCATGACCATTGAGCTAGTCGCCATATAAGTGAGTCTCGCACCTTGTTCGGCAAACTGACATTTATAACCTTTTGCATGATAGGCATATATTCTAGGGTGAGGGTGATGCCCTAAGTACCTCCTTTTATCTATGCTTTCTTGTTCCGGTATTTACCATTTGTTCCTCCAAAAACAATCCAAAACCGAACGACTAGATAACAACAAAGTGAGAAGTAGCATAGGGTATCGAAACCCGTAAAATACGACCTTAGTCGACCACTATATTAACAAATCGAACAATGGATTTAATAACCCGCATGGAACACACTCTTACCATCATTTAGTCAAAATGTTAAATCTAACCGTCAATCAAAAATAAAATATACAAATGAGTAAATTACTCTAACTACTCATAATCTATTAAATTCTAGTCATTTTAAAAAAGTTCATATAAAAAATGAAACATTTTGCAAACTCCATACGTACTTTTTTACTCGAGGAAGAATGAAGATGGAGATGAGGATTGAGGATTGATTGACCGGCGGAGGAGAGAGTGTCCCACCACAGTGCCAAAAGACATTAATTCTCAGAGCTTCTGACGAGACGTATGCAAATTAAAATCAAAACCCCTATTTCTTCATTCAATTTTTTTTCCTTCCTTTTTTCACTGTATCAATATAAATAAATATTAGTCCCATCCCTATCCCCCCATGCCAACTTATAAAAATTATCAGACGAATTATAGAAGCCCCAAAAAAGAAAAAGGAAAAAAAACAATTACGAAATTTTAAAAAGAGGCTTTTTCAGGCTTCCTCTTCTTCTTACAAACTTCATCACAATCATAATAATGTTCGTTCGTATAAACGAAAGATGCAGCCAGAAAATTTTTTTAGAGAGAAAGAGAGAAAATAAAAAATAAAATTTTTGAAGGCGACTTTGGTCTGTTTTGGAGCGTACTTTGTTTATATATTTAATTCCTCCAAACTCCCTTTTCCTCAGCTGCTAAACTTCATTTTCTGAAACTCTCTCTTCCCCTTTTTTTTTCCTCTCTCTTCTCCCCTCTTTCCTCCAAATTCCTATTCTCCAATCAGTAACCCTATTCCTCTGCTAATTCAAAGCGGGGGACTCGTCCTTTCTTTCTCTCCTCTTTCTGGGTCTCTGACTGAACTGTAAATGGGGAGACACTCCTGCTGCTACAAGCAGAAACTCAGGAAAGGGCTATGGTCCCCTGAAGAAGACGAGAAACTCCTTCGCCATATCACCAAGTACGGCCATGGCTGCTGGAGCTCTGTCCCCAAACAAGCTGGTATTTTAACTCGAACCCATGAGGCAGAGTGTGATCAATTACATGTTTAACTATGTCGCTCGCATTATTATCACTAACCCTGATGAGAATTTTGCAGGGCTACAGAGGTGCGGGAAGAGCTGCAGGTTGAGGTGGATTAATTACTTGCGTCCTGATTTGAAGAGAGGCGCATTCTCCCAGCAAGAGGAGAACCTCATCATTGAGCTCCACGCCGTTCTTGGCAATCGGTAATCCTCTCTTTGTTTATTTAATTAACTTCAATTTTTGTTGCTCTGTTTTTTTGGGCTCTGTTCTCACTCTGTTTTTTTTTTCCCCTCTCTCTTTTGTTTTTCCTCTCTCTCGCTCAGGTGGTCTCAGATTGCCGCACAATTGCCGGGGAGAACGGACAACGAGATAAAAAATCTGTGGAATTCTTGCCTCAAGAAGAAACTCCGGCAGCGAGGGATCGATCCCGTTACCCACAAGCCCCTTTCCGAGATTGAAAATGCCGACGAGAACAAGAACATGAACGGGTCATCCCCTGTTTCCGGCAGCGGCACCGGCGACGAGGATAAATCCGTCTCCGGCGAGCTGAACCTGTTGAGACCCGAAATTCACAGCAAAACGAGAGGCCTCCAGTCTCCAACGCAGCAACAGCCGACAATTCCCATTTCCGATTGCGGCGGCGCCGCCGCCGCCGGGAGCCTGATGAGTACCAATAAGGATTTCTTGCTGGATAGGTTCGGTGGGAACTGTCATCAGTCACCGACGGATTTGGTGGGTCATTTGAATTTCCCTCTCCACCAATTGAATTACCCTGCCGCCGCCGCCTCCACCTCCCCTGCCGACGGCCGTATTTCCACCAACTCGATTCCTCCGCTCTGGTACGGTAGCGGCGGTGGAAAGCCATTCGACATAAATTCCGATTTCTCCTCCCCTGCCGCCACCGGCATTAGCCTCCCCGCCTCCTTCTTCTCCAACAATTACAAGCCGGCTTCTGTCGGTGGCGGCGGGGAAAATTCTCCTCCGCCCTCTTTCAATCGGTTCTGGGAACCAGCAGCAGCAGGAGTGCCGCCGAGCAGCAACAACAACAGCAGCAGCAGCGGGAGAAGCAGCTCGTTCTTCGACACCGCCGCCATTTTCTCCTGGGGGATTTCCGATGCGGAGAAAGGACAGGCGCAGGACGAAATCAAGTGGCCGGAGTACCTAACCAGCCCGCTGCTATCCGCGTCTCTGCAGAACCAAACCCAACTGTACAGCAACGAGATAAAATCGGAATCCCAGCTGCTGCCGGAGAATTCAGCCGGCGGCATGTGGATTCACGGCGGCGGACAGCAGGAGCCGCAGCCGACGACGACGACATTGCAGCAGTTCTCCGATTTGTCGTGCCCGAAGGATTTCCAGAGGCTCACGGCGGCGTATGGACACATCAATTAAGCTTTATTATCCTCCTCCTCCTGTGCTGTACTTTCTCTCCTCTGTTCTTCCTTCTCTCTCTGTCCCTTCAGGTGAGAAAAGGAAAAACAGAGAGAAAATTGTTACCGCGGCAAAGAATGGTTGTTCTGTTTTCTTTTTTACCGCTTTTACTCTTTTTTATCTTGACTGGGTTTGTTTTTTTTTTTTTTTTACGTTTTTACCGTTTTACCACTTGTGTGTGCCACAGTTTTTTTTACCCTATTGTAAATAGATCAGAAGATACAAGTCAACAACAGGACATGTAGAGTTTTGTGAAGCTAATTAATCCTCCTCTTCTATTATTCTTCTTGGCAGAATAAGCGCTCTGATTGCGTTTCCCAGCGTTAATTTTCAATCATTTGTATTTCTATAGGAGTTTTGTGCATTTTAATATTAGAGAGAGAGAATCACTCGTTTTTTTTTCTTCCTTTATGAAATCAAGGAATTCAATATACGAGAGAGAATCTCTCGACTTATGTGTTGTAGCTATGTATCCACTGGAATGTTCTGTCATGTATATGAATGAATACATTTTTTTTTTTAATTTTGATTTTGCAGCTACATCAATTGTTAAGTCTGTTAAGTTAAACTCACCGCTAATTAATGATGTGTTGATATTTTGTCAAATGATGGAAATATGATGATTATGGAATAGTACAAAAGCAATAGGAAAAAGGATATTGACCTCGCACTCATATAATTACTCAACCTCACACTCAGGTGGTGGTTGACATTTTATTCATCTTTCTAGCTAGTAGTGATTAGGGATGGTAATGGAACCGAACTCATGGGTAACCCACTCTGGTTGAAACAGATAAAATTATGTATTGATAGGTTCTGCTATGAGTACGGGTTTTACTCGTTTTTTAAATTGGTGTGTTTTGAGTTTTTGCAAAAACCTTACCCGTTTTGCACCCACCTGTAAGCACAACAATTCCATTTTGTATTTGATCGAAACTATATGAATGATTTATGAATGCTATTAGTCTTTATGACAACATAAATCGATTGATATTGATGATTTATGGATGTTAATAGTGATTATGAAGACATATTTGTAGGAAAATTTCCGATAACATTATCATCTGGGTGTTTGAATAAATAATGTATGGATGTGTGTTGTGAACCCATGGGTGCCAATTGTGTTGGATTTTCACTTCCAAAACCCAATGAATATTTTACCAAATTTTTTTAATGGATACACCCGTTGGGTTGGATTTAGAGAACCACGGCTACCTGACCCCGTTGTCATCCCTAATATTGATAGAGCAACGCGAGTAATGCAGAGGGACCACAGTCACCGTCATTATTTAATTCAAGGTTGTGATTGTGTATATTTTATGTAAAAAAAATACTTAAAATTGGGCACTAGTTCGTGAATGATTATTTGATGACATATATTAAAAGATATGCATTGAACATTGTATAGACATCGAGTATACTTTACAATAAAATATCCCTCTCTGCTACGTACTAATCAGACTCTCCTTCAAGATCCATATTTAATTCTAAACTACTCTTATAAATTTTTCCTATTCACATATATAGCGTCTACTCACTCTAATTAAATTATGTCTTTAGAATTTTATTATGTAATTGACATGCAAGTAAGTAACTTAATTCTTTCTAGTTGAGAATGAAATGGAAGTCAGTCAGTCAACTAAACAAGTGAAGCCGCTATCATATCTCATCAGTTGTGCAAAGGATCATTGCTTTCAGTTGTTCTTTCCTCTAGTACGGGATTTTTTTGAATGAAAATGGTTGTCCATCATTTTCACAGACGTATAAATTAAAAGATATTTGGCACTTTTTAGTTTCTGCACTAAAGCTTTGCTTTCAGAAGCCAATTAATTAATATATGAGCTTTCAGTTGACAAGTTTTGGTTTGGATGCCCGATTCCTTTCCCTTGTCTTTGCCCTAAACAAACACGCAGAAGCTTATATCAGATTATAAGGAAATTTATTTGTTAGAAATATTACTAAAACATGTGAATGCACAAAAATTATTTTAATTTCATATGCACTACCAGAGCTCGTTAACTATACACATCTGGATTCCGTTGCATGAATGTCACTTATCCAGTCTTAGTATTATGTCGATTTAATGATGACAACTCTGATTCTTACACGTCCATGCATAAATTATCCATTCACTTGTTTAGTCTTTCAATTATAAAAATTCACCCCGAATTTGTTATCATGTAAGAATCGAGATTGACCCAATTTGAAAGCATGTCATGAATGACTGTTAAAACACATGTCACATATGTTACAAACAACATTTTCCCTACCAACGAAATTCAAGTATTCAACTTATAATTCTTGCATTTCATTTCGTATTTTGCAATGCATTCGTCATTTGAGATCGCATCAATTGAGACGACAGATTTTCAATTGTGTGCATGCACGTGAATCGTTTAGAACATGCTTATGAACTCATCAATTTACCTTACTTGTTTACGCATCGGATTCGGATGTCGACAAAATCTTTAATATAGGGACTAGAATGAATAAATGACATTGTTTGGGGACTTGTGTGTCAATGCTCAATAGTTCAAGGACATATTTGTTGAAAACAACATTGTGTAGGGGCTAAAACGCCATAAGAAGAGGCTTTAAATTATCCTTTTTTGGCGACTTCTGTCTATTGCTACCAACCAGAGCACATGGGATTAATGATATCCTATATATCCGTAAACGCGTGATTATTGCAATAAACCAATATCCAATTAAGTTATTCTGCTTAATTTGTCCAATCAACATTTGTTTATTCACCACAATTTGGAAAATATCAGTTACACAGTATATTTAATTTGTTGGGTTAGTAATTTAGTATATTAGCTACAAGTTGTTCATCATCGTATCGTAAGAATGTTACTTTTATCAGTTTTAAATCAGTATGATTAGATGAGGAGTTCTTTCCGGCCTCGCAATAAGTATATATGGCTAGGGGTGCAAATCGGGACGGTATTGCCGTGGATGTGTTTGACAGCAAGAGTGTGGTTAAAATGCATATAAGAATCTCTCTCAAGAATTCAAGTTATTTGGTGTATCTTAATACGATAGCATAACTGGTGTGATCGAGAAATTACGTGTCCAAATCTTCATGACATCCAATATTAGTATTTGATGTCAATAGTATGGTATGGTAGACATATACAAACTTCAAACGCCATTAGTTGACTTTCATTTGAAGTGGCGTGTAACAGAATGGTTAAGATTGATACTTGACCATATGGGTACGTGATCGTTTGGTCAAACCAAACCAAAGTCGATTAAAACCTCACTCGAACACGACCAAGTGTAGCTTACCAAGTTTGATACCTGACCATATGGGTGATCGTTCGGCTAGTTCGGTTCGGTTAGTTTCAAATCGATAACCAAAGTAAAGGGTCCGACAACCGATTAACGAGCTGAATATGAGTGAGTTCGGGGCCACTTGCATCCGAACCAAAATGCCCACCTCGAACTTCTTCAAAGAACTCCCAACTTTTCCCCTCCTTTTTATTAGGTTGATTATGTTGATTAATCATAAAATTGATTGTGGTTTTCCATAATCAAAATGAATTAGGGGGTGAGGGAAACTCCATCCTGTTTGAGTGAGTTTGGATGGTGACTTGACTGGGATCCAAACCAATCGGCATATATTGAGACAGCTAGGATGAGGGTGTTTAATACCAAAACAATTATTTGGAATTTTTTATTGAAAGGGAAACCCCATTTGGAAGCATACCCTATTCCTTCCAATATTGATTTTGTACAAACTACTCTGATGTGTCTATACTTCTATACATCTGGTCTAAGCCTTTTCTTTTCATTTTTTTTTAATTTTCATAATCATTTTAGGTTAGGTTTGTTTCAAGAATAGGATATGAAGGATGGATTAATAGACAGAATGCATAGGGTTGGAAGAATCTCATGTTTTTGTTCTTCTTTATAGTGTATAAGGGATTGTGGGGTTAGAAATTTCAATTTCTGATAAATGGAGATACTTAATATTCTGATTTGTTGATTTCTCTCTCTCTCTCTCTTCATTTTCGCCAAAGAATCTCATTTATCAAACAATAAACTTGTTTAAGCTCCATTTTAAACGATAATGAGGGTTGAAATCTTCGTAATTCGTTAGAGTTTCGTGATTTAGTATTTGGTATATTACCGATACCGAACAAAATATTAGGGGATGGAATGGAGATAACAGATTTATTTTGAGATTGAAATTGAGTCTGTGACACTATTTGGTATTCGGAATATTAATACTTGGTATAGAGATACCGAAGTAAAGCCAGAAATTAGAGTGAGAAAGGGCTGAGGCAACAAATTACAACCAATTTCAACAACTGAACTTAATCTTTGGAGGAGGGAGTATCCCTCATCCCACCACTTTCTACACTTTCTCAAGATACTACGAATACAAACATTATAACCTTAAATAAAAAATAAAAAATTTGAAGGATCTGTAACCCCATATAAACTACACATAACTTCACCGCTGCCGATACCATACCGAGTTGCCGACCGCTGCCGATACCATACCGATTTCCCTTATCCTACCCAAGATCATTTTTAACCCAAGTGGTTTCCATTAATGAAGTCGAGATCACTTTTAGCCATATAAGAGAAAGAAAGAAATTATCACCCATTTGGTGTATATGAATGTCAACTAAGGGCCACACGTGTGTCTCATATGTTTGTATGTGTGAGAGATGAGAGAGAGAGAGAGCATGACGTGAAAGATTAGTGTTATGTTCACTTTCTGAAACCGTACATGCGGATTGCGACTCGCCACCCGCTCACCGCCATATATGCTACGAGGACGAGCTAAAACCCTTCCCATTCTTCACTTTTGATTTTTTTTTTTCCCCATTTTATATATAATTATATATATATGTCTTGTAACTTAGCGTCCTTTGAGGCGCCAACATTATCTTCCCCCATGCAAAAATAATAATGAATAAATGAGAAACGACTATTACTACTGCCAAACAAAAATGGCGAATTGGGGTGTATTACACGAAAAGCACTTCCTAATAACAAACTCATCACATCACAGTAAATTCTTTCATCTACGTGCTCGTATTAGTCACATGAATAGACGACATTTACCTGCGTCGAGACAAGTTACAACCATTTCGTTTCTCTGCAGTTGACTTCAGTGGATTATCGTTAAAGATAAATTTTGAAATTTTATATAATACACTTAGTAATATTAAGTTATTTGAGTAACATTACATATAATTAACAGGTCGACAATGAGGCGAGCAAAGTCGGGGAGAGTACTCATACTCATCTGCCCCGCAACACATACAAACGTGTATTGCCCACCAAAAACAGGAAAGTAAAAGTAGGGTTGTAAGCCTCGCCCTAGGTACCTGGCTCGACCTGAGGGTTGTGCTGAGTTA